AATAAACCTGGCATTGTATATCACAAATATTGTTGGCTCCTCATCAAATTGCTTTTGTTCCTCTTTTGTAAGAAATTTGGGATAAAAGCGTCTGTTAAATGCATAAATATAAATGTAGTAAAGAGAAGTAAACTGTACTGACGTCAGGTTTACCTTGATGGTGCTGGAGGCGTACAGCATGTCCTCCAGGGTGAAGTGACAGCAGTTGTTGAGGTTTTCTCTGCAGAACTCCTGGATCAGCTGGAGATTGTACAGACTGTCAGCCAATGACATCGTTTCTTTGACACAGATATCTGGATGGGGAGGGAACAAACCACATAACTGAGGGGGCGGAGACACAACTGAAGTAGAAGCTAATGGAGTTTCATAAAGTCTGTGAGGGCGGGACTAGGATGTGTGATGTAATGAGCAGAATCCTCAGAATCACGGGGTGGAGGATGTGTTTATGTTTGAATAACTGCTCCACTGTTCTCGCTCAAACTTCCATTCACGCACTCCTACTCGCTCTGTCTGTTCCTTTCGCTCATTTCTTCCGCCACCCTTATTCTTATGAAATTATGACTTTTATATAACAAGGATGTATTAAATTGATCAAAAGTGACAAAGACATTTGTAGTGTCATCAAGTGGCTTTAGTAGAACAAATAATTGTCTTTAAAACCAAGTTTAAAGTGAAAGAAACCTTGCTATTATTTCACAAATCAAATTTAAAACGAGGCAGAGACTTTGTTTCCTTTAGATGACTCTAAAAATCAGAATGTTGTTATGTTTGTGGCACAAGGGACTTCAGAGAGAGTTAAGTGGATAATGTAGTTTTCCTGATGCTGTTTGTGCACATATGCATGTTATCTATGGGGCCAGATGAGAGGCTTGAGTATTTTGGTGAATGTTTATCTGCACAGGCCTCTGTTGGAGGGTTGTGCTACAGTATCTCAGCTACACCTCTCAGTAAAACAGTAAGAATACACTTTTTCTGACTAAAGTATATTGCAGTTTTGTAGGTCAGTTACCCAGACAAAGTTTAAGTCTAGTCACACAAGAATACACAAGAATTACACTATCATACTTAGTACAAGATTAGAAATGTCACTACTAACAGTGCAGTTTAATGTCAATAAGGTCTAGCAAGTGTTATTACACAACAAGCCTTAGTGATCAAGCCTTAGTGATCATGCAGGTGAAACAAATTTAAGTCCAACTCATGGTGTTTCTCAATTCTGCCATCCTCCATAATTTACTTCTCCCCTCAATAAATAAAATAAAATTGTGCAATTTCATATAAAATAATCTATTTTAAAACCTCTATCTAATTAATAGATAGAAAATGCAAAATAACATTTAATGCCACTTAAACTTATGTCTGTTCCTCACACAAAGCTGTTGTATGGATTCAGAAGGCCTGGAATTCAGAGAATTAGTCATATAGACTACATTTTTGTCCGTTTTTTAAAACCGACTGCCCCTGGTCACTGTATGGTTTTATTGTATGTAAGAAAAAAAAAGCAGCATTAATATTCTTCAGAATGTCTTCTTTTGTGTTCCATGGAGAAAAAAAAGTAATATGCTTAAAATAAAGGTGGATAAATAATAACAAACTTTTGGGTGGATTATATATAGGGTTGTGCGATAATGACAAAAAATGATATCTTGATATTTTCTCGAATTTTGTCGATAATTAACTTTTGATATTCTTCATATTCTGTGCGGTGAGTAGTTTGCAGGAGTAACAGAAATGAACTTTTAAAGGGTTAGTTCACCCAAAAATTTAAATTCTGTCATTAATTACTCACCCTCATGTCGTTTCAAACCCATAATACCTTCGTTCATCTTCAGAAACAAAAATTAAGATATTTTTGATGGAATCTGAGAGCTGTCTGACCCTGCATAGACAGCAATACAACTGAAATGTTCCCAAGTCCAGAACCGTAGCAAGGAGATCTGTAAAATAATCCATGTGACATCAGGGGTTCAACCGTAATTTTACGAAGCCTCCTATTAGTCTCCTCTGCGTCACCCTGGTGCCATTTTGGAGAGTATCCGCTGGACGTAAACAGTGTATGCTGTTCTGTGTCACTTGCGTCACACGGATATACTGTTTTCGGTCAGATAAAATCACAACAATGTAGGAAACAGATCCGGCGTGACACAGATGACACAGAACAGCATACACTGTTTACGTCCAGCGGATACTCTCCAAAATGTCGCTACAGGGTGATGTGGAGGAGACGAATTGTTGAATAAAGTCGTTATTTTTTTTCTTTTGCGCACCAAAATTATTCTCAAGCTTCATAATATTACGGTTGAACCCCTGATGTCACATGGATTATTTTACAGATCTCCTTGCTACGTTTCTGGACTTGGGAACATTTCAGTTGTATTACTGTCTATGCAGGGTCAGACAGCTCTCAGATTCCATCAAAAATATCTTAATTTGTGTTCCGAATATTAACGGTGGGTGAACTAACCCTTTAAGTTTACATTTATTTTTACCTTTATGGGCATTTTACCTTTATAAGGTATAACCTAATTAAATGTATGCATCATTTTTTGTATCAGATTCTTAAATGTAATCAATAAATTCAAACAGTAAGACACTATAGGGCTGTTACCGTTCAAATCAAATCAGTATCAACAATATTTTTCTTTGCAATGCAGAGGTGGCACAGAATCTGCAAGTTGCATTTAGATGTATTTACACAGACTGTTTAATGCAGGACATGAATGCAGTTACAAATGCATAAATAATGTTTTGATGTTTAAAGGGGTCATAGGATGCCCATTTTCCACAAGTTGATATGATTCTTTAGGGTCTTAATGAAAAGTCTGTATCATAGTTTGGTTAAAATTTCTCAATGGTAGTGTAAAAAACACCTTTTTTACCCTGTCAAAAACAGCTCTTTTCAGATCAAGCCGTTTTTGTAGCATTTTCCTTTAAATGTTAATGAGCTCTGCTGACCCCGCCCCTCTCTTCCGAGCTGCTCTCAGAGAGACTGTTTACTTTATCCGCATTCATCGTGAAACTTGCTAATTAGCACATTATTAGGAAAGGCGATTTGCAAAGATTCATTACAAAACATTATGCTCACTTCTTCTGTAGATGAGGCTAGATCATGAATGATTCGCGTGAACATAGACGCACTTAGGTAGATCGGGGGTGCATTCCCTTTAGAAATGATGTAATCCACTGCAGTCCAGCGGCTCAGATGTCGGGAGAAAATGACGACTGCTATGTTCATTATTACATCCAACAACAGAACACCTCAATCGCTTAGGAGTCATTCTTGTCTACATCTGCTCCGGCGGTGAAACAATGGGACTGATGACAGCTCACTCAGGGCAGGTCTGAGGTAAGACACCAGTCCAGTCTGTGCTGAAACGCTACTGTCAATCAATGTGTGACGTCACACAGACAGGCATCTGAGATCGGCTCGATTTGAGAAAGGGGAAAACATTTAACCAGATAAAAAAAAACACTGGGTGGATTTGTATCATTATAGGGTGGTTGTGTACACACACTGCCAACACACATTTCAGTTCAAACAACTTGTAAATGTGCATGTAGCGTCCTATGATCCCTTTAAAAAAAACGTTGAATACTGATATTTTGATTTTGAGGAAAAAATTTAAATATACGTTCAATTTAAACCTAAAATCACCAGTAGGTGGTGGCAAATAACTACATGAGTGAGTCATTGAGTCAATAATTCAACTGATTTGTTCAAACGGCTGATTGATTTGGTAACTAAACATTGTTGTGTGTTGCTCAGAGATGCAAAATAGTTCTGCTGTGGCTTTATTTGAAACTATTTTCGTTGATGAAATAGAGCAAAAACAGGAACTTTTGTTTAAAATGTAAGTCAATTAATATTAACTTATTTATTGGACTGATTTTTTATAAAATCAATATCACATTTGCAATCATGCTGATATTTGGAGAATAAAAACGGCACTTTTCATGTGAAATTATCAGATGATATACATATAAAAGTCATACGGGGGCATTTTAGCCCCCTTATCTTGAATTTTGGGGGAATTCTAAATGGATTTTAATAGACTAAATAACACACAAGTGTGAACTCTAAATTTGCTCACGCAGTAGTCTAACCTATCTCATAGTCTATGCGTGCACTTTCTGGGTGTGTTTTTATTTGTTTTTTGTGATACACAGATTAAACAACAATTACGATATTATTGTAGATGATATATACCCCACACCCCTAATTATACCTTTAAATTGAAGTGAATGTCTACAATAAAGCCAATTGCTCATGGTCACAGAACCACTCAATGTGTCAATGCCCTTTCCTGACCTGTCATCATCATATATAAATTATCTAATCTAAACATATGGTAAGCAAAGTATTCACAAAATAGTGTGAATAGATTGAAACTTGGACAAAAAGATCTATATTTCTCATATCACAAAGAAAAGTTTCCTGCAGCAGTACCTTCCAGTGGCACAGCATCAGGACAGTAGAAGTGCAGCAGTGCAGCCAGTGCACAGCCGTCCGTGTTGTCCTTCAGGAGATTGTCCACCAGGGAGAGACAAAGAGTCAGACGTGCTTTAGAGTCCTCTCTCCTGTACCGCCCCTGTGGATTACACACACAAACATACAACACGAAACCACAAAATATGTGGTTTAATAAAACATTTGTGAAACACATATATAAGAGTTGGGAATGGGGCATGGGAAAGCTGCATGCTAGTGTAAAACGAAATTAATTTTCAATTAATAAATGTATTCTATAATGTCAAAATGAATTGTAGGCATAATCCAGTGAAATCATCGAGAATAGGGATGTACGTATAAGAACTGTGTGCAGACATGATGCCCCATTTTACTCACCTATGCTGCCAATAACAGTATATGACCTATGATTTTAAGTTTTGTGTTTGATGTTCCAGTGTTTGAGGTGGGGTCACAGTTACTGAGCATTAAATGACAAGAGCAAGCCAATGGATGGGACTGATCAATGAAGTAGAATTGCATCATTGTGTAACTGGAATTTATTTGCCTAACTGGAAACACCCATTAGGAGGCTTTTAATTGATTAATTTTTTTGGTCCATGAGGAACACTAAAGAGCAATGAGAAAATCTATCTATCACTGTAAAATGCTATTTGCAAATGCTTAACAGGACAAAATATTACTTGACAAAATAGAAATTATATAAACATACTTGAATGCTGTCTGCTTAGAAAGTACCTGCAAGACTTACTTTATAATTTAGAAAATAAGTTAAAATAATTATGCAGAATATGAACAAATAGGTGGTATAAGATTGGAAGAGAGAAAGAGAAAGAGGAAGAGAGAAAACTACAAGTAAAATGACACCAAAGAAGACTACAGTAAAATGGGAGAAGCTTGAGAAGGTTTATTAGTGTATAGGCAACAAAGAAAAAAGACATCCAGTGAGTCAGAGATAAAAGTGCAACATAAAAAGATAAAGGAGTAGAACACTTTACATGGTGCCTATTTTAAAGCATGTTTTGTTGGATTTTTTATTATCATTATTATTAGTATTATTATTTTTACATTACCTGCTTATAACTAACAAATAAAATGAGTTTTGTGTTGCTTCAATTGCCTTCTGTGAGACTTTGAAGTAAAATAAAATAATAGACAAACTAGATCAACCACAAAGAAATCTTCTAGTCATTCCTGAAGAACTTCATTCCACAGACAGGTGAGTATGTTATGGTGTATGCCCAACGTGACTAATTAAACAGTGAAATGTGCACAATAAAATGGAGTAACATGTCAGTCTTTCTTGACAAGCTTTACCTGTTTTAGTTTGAACAAGTACACATTTTGAATCAGTACAGGCTGCTTTGAATCTCATTTGAATTAATAAAAACCTTGCAAAGACACAGCCTCACTTCACTGTACATTTTGTTAGGGTCCACCTGATAAACTATTTAATTTAATTTGTAAAATGTGGAACATGTTGACAGTATTGAAACTTCAAGATACATTTCAAATAGTGAGTATTGCTGTAGAGCTTGAGAGACTTTTCACTATACAGTTCTACAGACTTCAAGCATTATTATAATAATAATAATAATAATAGTCACAAACAGCAATCATCGGGGTCCAAGCACCAATAGCCCACATGGATGATTCAACTGAAATTTGTCTAATGTGGTTTTTACACCAAAGGCCATTTGAATCTTCAGTAATAGTTTTGCCCTGCTTTACAATGTTCATCCATCCTAAATAGTATGTGAGATTAAAATAAGTGTGTCCCAAGCATAATATGTTGAAAAGAGTATGCCAAAAGTCCCCGGATGGTCTACTATTTCAGGTCGACTTTTGAAATGTGGATCCGTGCACACTCTGATGGCTTAACTGTGACAAGATAATTGACGGACCAGTTTACAGTGACAGGGTGCGTGTAACTATGCGACAGAGCGATCAGTTAAAGACGCAGTTGTGTGACATGATACTATGTCCCAATGCTTGCCTACTCTTCTACTACACACTCAAAAGTGTGAACTTTTTCTTCATCAAAAGAGTACATACATTAAGGACATAGTATAAGTAGGCACATTGGGATGCAGCAATGGTTTGATGAAACAGGTCACAGCGACACACTGGTGTCAAAAGGGACAAATGACTTCCAAAGGAAATCACTCCTTCTTACTGTTACACTGAAAGAGAAGTAAAATAAAAAGTGTCGTTTTTTTTATGTGATCAAAAGATATGTGGACGCTATACAGTCATGTGATATCTTTGCATGTTATTTTGTGACACTGTCACACAGGACACGTTTTAACCTGCTCAATATATCATAATGATTTTATGTATATTTGAGTTTTAATAGGTTTACATGTTGTCTTAATCATTTTATTCCTCTTATCTGTTTTAATGTGTGTATGTTTTTAAATGAGTCTGGGTCACTGATCTATATAAATGACTGGATTGCTCATTGCGTTCTAAACTGCTGACAGGCAATGAAGCCACCAGAAGTGTTGAGCCGCCATCTTACTATTCCCTACCGGCAGAGAGTAGCATTGACTCACAGCTAAACAGCTGACCTAAAATCACCCGATTTGAAGCGAATCAGTCACACGGGATTAGTTTTTATGTCATGTTTATGTAAATTCAATTTTACTTCAGATGTTATCTGTAATGTTTATGGTCTTTTTGGGCAGGATAAGCCATATATTTAAATCATTATGGTGGGTGTGTCTGCTGTGCACTTGCCGAAACAGGTAACTGTTCTAACACAAAATATAGCCTATTTCTTTATGTGCGTAATTATTCAGGAATTATTAAACACGAACGTATAAGTATCTGAAATTGATTTAAATATATAATAAACAATACAATACAAGCCTCTGTCACTATATTAATTTATGTTGTACTGAAATGAAAAGCTTACCATGCATCATCTTGGAAATAAAGCTTCATGTCTTTAAATACGTACTGTATATAGTCAGTTATTCCTCTGAATAAGTTATGATATGTATATTTTTAATGTCCTGATTGAGCAACATCTATTTCAGACTCTCAAAGATTGTGCAAATATGGCGTTTTACTAGCATTACTGTTTCCATGTAAAATGTTATGTATACATGTTAAATTAATAATTAATTTAACCACCATTTGAATCATTACCTGCTTCAAAATTAATGCTGTTAATGAAATCATTGTTGAAACATTTGCAGTTAGCCTACTGTACAAATAAAAACATTATAACAAAATGACATAAACAATGAATAACTGTACAAGGCGAATGAAGGTATATATGTATACAAAGCATAAATCTTTATTCATATTTCAGAATGAGCACTTTGTCATTTGCTATTTATATGTTGAGGATCTCGTCCATCTGATGTTTATCATGTTCATCTGATGTACGCTACTGTAATGTACATGAACGTAGCTTTTTAAATTCCTGACATTAAACAAATAACCTTTTACATGCCTAGTCTTTGCATCGTAAGAATGCACAGGGATACTTCAAACGCTGACTTGTTAGGTGATGCTTTCTCTTTAAATTTGGACGATTTCCTATTAATTCAATGCAATGTATGGGAATAGTGGGGAATACCAATATGGCGGCACGGCAGCTTCACTTTCATGACGTCATTAGCAATCCAGTTCTCTATTATAGATCAGTGGTCTGGGTCTGCCTGTCATGTGACTGATCACATATGGAAATAGGAAGTTAACAGTGTAAAGGAGGCAGACCCTGTTGAAAAAACCAGCATATGCTGGTTAGGTATGTTTTGATGCTGGTTTAAGCTGGTTCTTTGCTGGTTTATGCTGGTCTCCTCTTATCTGTTTTAATGTGTGTATGTTTTTAAATGAGTCTGGGTCACTGATCTATATAAATGACTGGATTGCTCATTGCGTTCTAAACTGCTGACAGGCAATGAAGCCACCAGAAGTGTTGAGCCGCCATCTTACTATTCCCTACCGGCAGAGAGTAGCATTGACTCACAGCTAAACAGCTGACCTAAAATCACCCGATTTGAAGCGAATCAGTCACACGGGATTAGTTTTTATGTCATGTTTATGTAAATTCAATTTTACTTCAGATGTTATCTGTAATGTTTATGGTCTTTTTGGGCAGGATAAGCCATATATTTAAATCATTATGGTGGGTGTGTCTGCTGTGCACTTGCCGAAACAGGTAACTGTTCTAACACAAAATATAGCCTATTTCTTTATGTGCGTAATTATTCAGGAATTATTAAACACGAACGTATAAGTATCTGAAATTGATTTAAATATATAATAAACAATACAATACAAGCCTCTGTCACTATATTAATTTATGTTGTACTGAAATGAAAAGCTTACCATGCATCATCTTGGAAATAAAGCTTCATGTCTTTAAATACGTACTGTATATAGTCAGTTATTCCTCTGAATAAGTTATGATATGTATATTTTTAATGTCCTGATTGAGCAACATCTATTTCAGACTCTCAAAGATTGTGCAAATATGGCGTTTTACTAGCATTACTGTTTCCATGTAAAATGTTATGTATACATGTTAAATTAATAATTAATTTAACCACCATTTGAATCATTACCTGCTTCAAAATTAATGCTGTTAATGAAATCATTGTTGAAACATTTGCAGTTAGCCTACTGTACAAATAAAAACATTATAACAAAATGACATAAACAATGAATAACTGTACAAGGCGAATGAAGGTATATATGTATACAAAGCATAAATCTTTATTCATATTTCAGAATGAGCACTTTGTCATTTGCTATTTATATGTTGAGGATCTCGTCCATCTGATGTTTATCATGTTCATCTGATGTACGCTACTGTAATGTACATGAACGTAGCTTTTTAAATTCCTGACATTAAACAAATAACCTTTTACATGCCTAGTCTTTGCATCGTAAGAATGCACAGGGATACTTCAAACGCTGACTTGTTAGGTGATGCTTTCTCTTTAAATTTGGACGATTTCCTATTAATTCAATGCAATGTATGGGAATAGTGGGGAATACCAATATGGCGGCACGGCAGCTTCACTTTCATGACGTCATTAGCAATCCAGTTCTCTATTATAGATCAGTGGTCTGGGTCTGCCTGTCATGTGACTGATCACATAT